GGGTCTGGACTGGTTCCCGTTGGGTCTGGACTGGTTCCTGTTGGGTCAACAACGTCACCGTCCTCTTCCTCGACCCGACTTGTTTGAATAAACCCGGTCCAGTCCAGACTCAACAGTTTGGGAATTATTTTCTGTTTAGCCCGAGACGGTTCTGCAACCTGTGGCTCTCGGGCCACATTTGGCCAGAACAAACCCAGTCAGGCCCGCGACTCACCTGTTGAGAACCGTGACCTTGTCCAGGGCGGTTGCTGAAGGTTCAAGGCCAGGAGTCTGGTTTTAGAACCAGCAGCTTGGACCTTTACCTGCTGGGACTTGGAGAGTTAAATCCTCCTTCAGATATTTTGCTAACAATCATCTGGTGCTCGGTGTGTTTAGGACGAGTGTCGGCGACTGCCACTGAAACGTAGCTCCACATCTGTGAAACTGTCTGATTCACGTGGTCCTAACGGTGGATGGGTGTGGCGGCCATCTTGAATCAGGCCCATCAGGTCAGATAAATCCTGGTTTCAGTCTGGAGGAACTTCAGGATCCGTTCTGGGTCAATGAGGAACTTTATTCAGAGCTAGAACTCCTGAAACCATCAGAACCGGTCTTCACTCTGAGCCTCGGTTCACTTTAATCTTCCTCCTCCTCGTCCTCCTCTTATCTCAGCTTTAAAGCTCCTTTTGTAGTTTTTTTTTTGTCGCTCTTTGATTTTGAAAACTCGTCTCAGATAAAAGTTTGAGCTTTAAAAGAATCTCCTGATTAATTAAAGTTTTCATGACGTCACTCTTTCATCACGTTTTTAAATCTTTTAAAGTCACTTCCTGTCGGAGCCGAAGCTCTGGAGGAAGTTTTAGCTGCTAGTTTCTGTTTTACAAAATATTCTTTAAAATGATTTAAATTCTTAACAACCACAGAAACGTTTCAGAGTTTAAATCATAAACTTGTTAAAATCGCAGAAACATTTTGTTTCCTGTTCGACTGGATTCAAACCTTTTCTGGATAAACATTTATAAAAGTTTTAAATTCTGTTTGGAATAAAATAATAAACTTTTTTTAAATTTCCTGGTTCTGAAATGAAATTAAAACTAAACAGAAGCTCGTTGACGTGGTGGTGCAGAGGTTAGAGAAGGTGGGCCTGTGATCGGCAGGTCATGGGTTCAACTCCCTGGACAGACAACACCAAAATGAGGTTGGGAAAGGTGAAGCAACTCCACCCTCATTTGCCTCACTCTGCCCTTGAGCAAGGCACCTAACTCCCACCATCTGCTTGTAAACGAGGCTCAGTGAGACTGACCTGTAGAAATAAAGGTTGAATAAATAATAAACGTGACCTCCATGTAAACTCCACATCAGGTGACATTTAATGAAATGTTTGTTTTATTAAATAATAAATTATAATTTTCTAAGATGAGTTTGGATCTGCAGGTTCTTAAAACTTCATGGTGTTAGTTTGAGGTTATTTGGCGCCACCTGGCGGCCGTCACAAGAACTGCACGTTGAAATTCACAAACATTTAGAATTAAACTTTGTTTTATTAAAGTATTTTTATTTGTTTGTGTTAAACTGCAGTCAATCGTGATTCTGAGTCTAAACTGTAAAAACTTCTCCGTCCGCCCCTCCTGGTTCTGGATCAGAGATAAAACCACAAACTTCAAACTTTTATAAAATCAACTTCAGTCTCGCTCCCAGACACTCCTCCAGAACCTCCTCCAGAACCTCCTGCTGTTCAGCTCCTGCTGCTCCTCTTCTTCTTTTTCTTCAGCACCTGCTTCATGGCGACGTCAGCTGCTTTGGACTGGTCATCAGAAGGTGCAGTCGGTTCTGCTGGTTCCTGAGCTGGTTCCTTCTCCTCTTCCACTGGGCGGATGGCTTTGACCTCACCAGTCTCCTCCAGAACCTCAGCCTTTGATGCTTCTGGTTCCAGCTCAGTCTTGGGGTTCTCAGGTTCTGGTGTTGCTCCAACAGATTGATGGACCTCCTCCTCACTTTTGGCTTGTTTCTCCTCTCTGACCTGGACTTGTGTCTGGACTTCTGATCCCTCTGGATTTGGGTCCATCTTAATGGTTTCTGAAGTTCTACCTTCTGGTTTTGGAGCCTCAGATGAACTCTGAACCTCCTCGTCTTTAGCTGCTGCTGGTTTTTTGTCTTCTCCTTGGACGGGGACTGGAACCAGACCGAGGTCAACTGGAGTTTTTGTTTGAAACTGGATAAACGCAGAGACAACCACGTCTTCGTCCAGGTCCAACTCCTCCTTCTCCTCCTCCTCGTTGTCGTCCGGCGTGGCCAACAGGGAGGCAGCGAGCTCCTGCAGCTTGGCCTGCTCGTCCCTCAGACGGGCGATGTTCTCCGTCAGGACCGGGTCCTCCTCCTCCAGCTCCTGGATCTCCTCAGGAGCTAGGACGGGGTCAGAGACCTCAGAGTTGGCGGTCAGGTTGGACAACTTCTTGGGGAGGTTTGAGCTGGACTCGCAGACTTCTTTAATCTTGTCGTAAAGACCGCACCTCTCCTCCTGCAGAGCGCGGCACAACTTCTCCAGCTTCTGGATCTTCAGGACGAAAAGATCGTACTCCTTCCCTTTCTCGGTTCTCTAGAGGGGGAGGGAGTGGAAACTGGTTTTAACTAAACTGAAGATGTAGCATGAATGAGGACAAACTACAGATGATGTCCAGTCGGAGGAGTTAGAAGAACAGTGTTCAAACTAAATTCAGATTTATTGAAACCAGATTAGAAGTGAATGAAGCAGGATTAGACGAGGATTAACATCCTGTCGGTCCATGTGTCTGTCGGTCCATGTGTCTGTCTGTCTGTCGGTCCATGTGTCTGACGGTCCATGTGTCTGTCGGTCCATGTGTCTGACGTCTGTCCGTCCACGTGTCTGACG